AGTTAACCACAAATGTTGACTATGAGGGGGTGAAACCAGAGGTGGATCTAGCTCAGTGAGATGCCGTCAAAAAACCCCCAAAACCTTTGAAGATGTTCCCTTGTACTGCAAGGAAGTGTACAGCCCTGTCTGGATGAACCGTGTTGAGCATTGTGCAAATAGTTCTGCAAGAAGGTCAAAAGCATGACTGTTTCCAGCTTCTTGGCTAGCGAATGTCCATGAGTCAGCGTAGCAGCAAGCCGAGAATTGGGCTTCTGAGTTCCCGTAGCAGTAATGCTGAAGGCTCAGGTTTCAGGGCCACATAGGGATTGCATGTGGAAGAAGTTTCAAAGGTCAGGGAAACCGTGGTGCTTGAGGATTGCATTGTTATGCTGTGCGTGTTGCTAGAGTGGCCAGGATTGGATCCATTCATCTGTTGTATCCCTCGTAGCTCTAGGGACCATGCGTCAGGTAGTTCCTGTTCACACTGGGCTCATGTTCCCTCTGAAAGTGGCAGAAGTCGTTACTAGTAGAGCTGGGCAACATTTTTCATACCAACCTTTCTTCTTCAGCAAAACGTGCTGATTTGACAGCACAGACTGCTACAGAGCAATCTGGCGAATTTGTGTCCTGTTAAAACAAGTGAAACCACAGAAACATTTCTTTGCGATGTTTTCTAACTGGGGCACTTCAATGGGTGGGTTCAAGAAACTTTTTCAAATGTATTTCAGTGTTATCAAAGGTACAGTCCAAAATGTTAAAAAATGCTGCAAATCAAAACCAAAACATTTTCTTGGGTCCAATTTTTGTTCACCCTTTCCTAATTCACTGCAAATTATGAAAAAAATCATTCAACCCAATGTATTTTCCCCCTGATTTTTCAGAATGGCCAGACAACTGAAAAGAATCAGTTATTCATGCAGTTCTTGATGTTAGTGCGATTGTTTAGCTCCATTCACAAGTCAACCATGAGGCAATGGAATGGCCACATTGTGTATTCCAAGTAAGCGTCACGCTCAACCCCATTGAGTTCCTTCCCATTCTTTCTTTTCCAATAGCATCATTCCTGATTGCAACACGAGGGCCCTTTTAGGTTGCCCGGCTGTCAGCCATAGGAAACATCTTGCATCCTGAGATTCCACTGGCTGCATCGCCTGCATGCCAATAAATGTGTCATGTGGTCATATTGGTCCCAGATATTAGAGACACAGGTGGGTTAAGTGATATCTTCTATTGGACCAATTTCTGTTGGATATCCACCCACGTTATGAAGGCTGGTATAGTAGGGCGGGCACTGGCATCGCTCTCAGGAGACCTGGGCTCAGTTCCCAGCTCTGCCATTGGCTCTCCACATGATTTACTCCTGGGGGAATTTCGCACCACTGTGCCTGCGCAGAATTCATATCCCCTGCAGATTTTTTTTTTTTTTTGCTTTCTCACAGAAAAATAATTTCTGGGGGGAAAGCAAAAAGAAGCTGTGGGTGTCCCTCCCCAGCAGGTTGGTTCAGGTGTCTGGAGCAGCCAGTAGAAGTGTCAGTCACCGGGGCTTTGCAGTTGTGCATGTTTGAGAGAGAGAGAGAGAGAGATACTCTGTCCTCATATTTCCTATTGCAGCATGGAGGGGCACGGCTTTGGGGCTGTTTTAAATATCTAGGTGTGGGCAGGCTCTGTCCCCTCAGGCAGAGCTGAGTGCAAAAGGTTTGCCTGCTTAGTGTGTTGTTCCCATTGTCGCTGTGAATTCCCTCCAAGAGTGTAAAACAGATGCAAAAGCTGTAAGGTGTCTTTCCATTGCCAAAGTGGTGTAAAGGACCGTACGGCCTAATGGTGCTTTAGTGATTAGAACTGGTCTGATTTTTCAGACTAAATCATTTCCTATCCAAACGTGCTCCATGAACCACTTGCTACTGACCTTTCTGGAGATGGGCAGTACCCAATCGAAATTGTGAGTTTCATTCCCCAGCCTTCGCTTGCTTGTCGCTGAGCATATGCCTGCATGCATTTGTTGACTAATAACTAGAAATAAAGGATCAAACCGAGCAACATTACTGTTAAGCAAGGGACGTGGGGGATTTCCTCCAATGCTCCGCATTCCCATTCGCCAACCACTGTATTGTAATTTAAACAAGTTACTGAAATAATTGAAACCAGAGTGACGATACTGCATTATGTTGACCAATAAAATATGCAGAATTTTAAAATATTGTGTGCAAAATTTTAAACGTTTTGCTGGAGAATTTTTAATATTCTGCCGTAGATTCCACCAGAATTCGTGATTGTGGGTAAATCACACAGACAGTAGGTGCCGCAGTCAAGGACAGCCCGTCCATATAGGCAAACTAAGCGGTCGCCTAGGGTGCCAAGTTAAATGGGGCGCCAAATGGTGGTGCAATATCATTGAGGGGTTTGGAGGTGGGGGCGCTGATTGCATGGTTTGCCTAGGGTGCCAGTTGCTGCCAGCTAGTCTAGGGCCGCCTCTGGCCCGCAGTTCCCCCTAGGGGAATGGGGCTATAGGTTCCTTGCCGTCCAGGGGTGCTGTGAGGTTAAATATGCTAATGCAGTGAGGGGCCCAGGGAATATGATGGAAAGGGAGGGAATTAGGTGTCCCCGCGGAACAGCTTCCCACCCTGTGGAATCAGAACCGCTTCCCTGATGTCCTACATGCCCCCTTACCTCAGCCATGCTTTCCCTCCACCCGGCCTTTACGACTCTGGGGGGCAAGGTGACAATCTTGGGGATCAAAGTGACTTGGAGCCACCCGTGTAGCACTGAGAGGTCCGGGGGACGTGGGGAGCCGTGCGAGCAGAGCCCGGGGGAGAGGCTGCCCTCACAGCAGAGCGGCTAGGTCTTGTAGCAGCAGGCTGTGTGTGTTTGCATTTCTCACTTCAAAAAAAGTCCTGCCGGCATCCCAGTGACATCATCAGGGTGAATGGAAACAGCTCAGGTCACCTCCGTACAAGTCAGGCTCTCTGATGTCACTTCAGTGCTAATAGCTCTTCTGACTTTACTGCGGGTCAGACTCAAAAGGAATTGTCTTCACCGATTCCTTTCGGTACAGAATAACTTCCCATAGGATGATGTCACCGCCGTATAAATGGAACCGTGTGATGTCATCTCAAAGTATGAAGGGAGGCGTCTGATGTCATCTCCCTGCTCAAAGGACGTTTTCCAATATGTCATCGACGGCTGCAGGGGAATGCTTCTAGCTCGTTGGTTTCGATATCGTACAGTACAACATAACACAGGCTAACATGTCGGTGAACTCAGACCCCCGTGGGCAGAATGTGGATGGATGGATAGATGACTAGATACATTTATACTAAGCATACATACATTAGAACACTCTATTGATTTTTAAAAAGTTCCCGGCCTGCCTGGCTGTAATGAGATTTTTTGAACTTTGTGTTGCGATCAATGAGAGGAATATTATTGGCCTGGAGAATTGATATACCCGCTGTGTGTGGCTTGTTCTGCTCCCAGCCGGCCCCTGCCCCCTAGGTGTACGGTTCCATCAGACACTTAACCTCTTTTACAGTGTCATCAGGCTAAAAGGAATCTAATAGTGACACGGGACTTGTGCGCAGCTCTCTGGCACTATTGCTTTCCTGTCACAAATAATTTATAGCTTTCTATTCCCATCCCTGGGCCCGCCCCCCCGCCCCACTCTCTGTTCTCTCTGGGCGGGGCACAATCAATACACACACACTCACACACACACAGTGGCACTAAAGGGTGCTCCAAGGGAATGAGGGGAGAGGAAGACATGACAAGACCTGCCCTAGGTGAGCCCCTCAGCTGGTGTGAATCAGTCTCGCTCCTGGATCTAGCCCCGGACGTACAAGGCCCCCCAATAGCGCCTGCCCAGCCCCCCAGTCTGGGTCAATCCGCACAGCTCCACTGACATCAGCAGTGCTACTCCAGCTGGGTCTCTTCTGATACCAGGCTTTTCCCGACCTGCTTCCCCTTCACGCCGCCTCCTCTGTGTCCTTCCCCACACTTCAGGCTCCATCGCCTGAGCATCCTGACGCCACCCTACAAGCCCGTTCCCTGGCCTGCCTGCAGCCCCCAGCCCCCTGCCTCCCCCTCATGCTGTCTCGCCCTGCCAGGCTGGGCCGCGGAGCCAGCCGCTTCCCTTTGAAGTCTGGCCAGCCTGCTCTGGAGGAGAAGCATCGCCTGTCGGTGCCTCCCACCTTAGCCGGGGTGTCAGGCACCTCCAGTTACTTGCTTTCACTTTTAGGAGAGACCTGCGGGAGGGGCTTAAATTTCATACAGGATTGACAGTCCTGGAAACCAGTCCCTGAACAGCATGGGCAGCCCCCCCCCCTCCCCGACTTGGAGGGACCACCTCTAAGCTCAGGGGGGGGATCTGGCCTTTCTGGCCTCTCCAGCTCTCTGCTGAGCTTGCCCGCACAGGGTGGTGCTTGGGTGGCAAACGCTTGCCCATTAGCACTGGGCCCCGCCAGCCCTTTCCACAGGCAGCTGTCAGGCGGCAATGATTTCCTTTCATCGCCACCGCAGCTGCCTTTGAACCGCTGACCTAGCGGCCAGAGTCTCCACGGAACAAGGACCGGAGCTTTGATGCTCCCTCTTTACGCCGGGCTGGCGCCGCGGCCCGGTCACATCCCCCTCGCCGGCTTCTCTGCACCTCTGAGCTTTCATCCGCCACCCAGGAAACGCCGCCACCGCGGCGCCTGCCATCGGTATCCCCCTGCCCGTTCCGTCCTCCGCCCCGCGCCCCGGCTCCCCCGCCTCCCTGGGAGCACTCTCGGCTCGGCGGCGCCTTGCGTGGTTCAGAACACAGTCCCGCTTTGCACTGCTAGGCCTTGCCTTCGGGGCGAGAGCGTTTCCATCCTGCAGCGAGGTGCCGACAGCCAAGGGGTCCTGGGTGCACCCGCTGGAGGGCTCCGTCCCGGGGAGAGTGGGTGAAATTCTCTGGTCTGGCACCCAGGAGCACAGACCAGATGGGTCGAATCTACGACCCGGGGCCCTTGCTGCAGGGCCGATGTGCACCGCTCCCGTGTTAAACTCTGGTGCTGCCGGTTGCTAAGGCTGCCGGGGTCTGGCCACCGAGGGGTTTGTCCGGCCTCTCGCAGCCTCACCCCAACAGTCGGTACCTGAGCGAGACTGTCACCGCGACTGCTCGGAGCTGCGCTCGCCCAGCCGGGAAAACGCCCATCCGGCTCTCGGTGACATGGCCGGGGAACCCCCTGGGACCTTGGTGTGGCCTAGCCGGGTCAGAAGAACCCATTGCCCGGGGCTATTTCCTGCTGTGGGTGGCTTGGGATCTGCGCCGGCTCCTGCTTTGGCTGGGGGGCTGGCGAGGGCAGGGCCAGGCTTCGAGGGGCTCCGAGGCGCTGCGTTCTGACCCGGTTTCTCTCTTTTCCAGGATTATCAGAACCAAAGTTCAGCAGCCTTTCCACCCGACCCCCGACGGCACTGGCCCGGGAGTGACGGCCCCTGGGCACACCATCGGTAAGGAGGCAGCGCGGGCGGGCTGGTGTAGACACAAGGGCAGAAGGACGAGGGGGAGGTGAAGAGAGACCGACACGAGGCCGAGAGGCACCAAGGAGCCAGCACAGCTGTGGGCAGAGGGATGAATTCTCCACCCCGGTGGGGCCGGCGGGTTCTGTCAGCGTCAGAACGCTACTCGGCATGGAGACGGGGGCTGGAACCTCACCTCCTTCTTCCGCCTCGTCTCTCCCCCTCCCGACACAGAGCGTGCCCATCATCTCATCGCCCTAGCGCATCCCCCGGCTCTTCCCTGGTCCTGGCGCCTTCTCTCTCTCTCCGCTTTTGCTCCTCTCTCCGTGCAGCCACCTCTCCCTGCGCGGGAGCCAGAGACGCGGGGAGCAGGAAAAGGTGTTTGGCCACTGAGTGCAGCAGGGCCTGGTGGATTTCACGGAGCCGTGGGGCAGGCGAGGGCTTGGCCGTGGGGCAGGAGGGAGGCTGAGTGTGTAATCACGTCGGCAGAGCGTGACTCTGGGCGACGGGCGTTAAGGCCTTTTTTAGGGTGGGTGCTACAGGCGCGTGTGGGTTCTGCGCCTGCTGGTGCCGTGTGAGGCTGCTGGGCTGTGCAGGAAGCGCAGCGCTGTCGGTGGGAAGTTGTGAAATGTGATGGGCTGTCTAGGGAGGCGATTGTAGGCGGTTGTTCCTGGAACTCAGGCACTGGCTGGGGGTTTCCTGGGTAGATTTGGTCCCCTGGAGAGGGCTGGCGGGTTCTGTGCTGGGGCCAGCAATGAGGGAGCATGCATCGGCCTGGGGGGAAGGGGGTTTGTGGGAGCTGGCTCTGGGGGGGTGACACCGTACTGGGCTGTGCTGCAGGCGGCTGGCAGAGTTGGCTGTACGGGGAGGCTGCTGTTGCACAGAGATGCGGCTCACGTCAGTGCAGTGCGCGTGGGGGCGGGCGGGGGAGGCTGCACAAGGGAGCACCGGTGCCTAGCTGGGCTGTGCGGCTCATTGCAGGAGGCGTGCCGGGCCGTGCTGGGATGTGACGGCCCGCCCGCTGGAATGCACTGTGCTCCCCTGCACGCCTTCGGACCCAGCCGGGGGCGCTGCCGGCGAGGGCCTCGACCGGGCTGCAGGGGGAGGCTTTTAGCCCCTAGCGGGAGATGGCCCGTCCTGAGATGCACCGGAATGGGGCTGGCCTGTAGTGGGGTGCGTGCCGCGGGCTCGCTCTGTCCGGGGAGCTGGGAGAAGGCGCTGGCGGGCACGGAGGGGCACTGCCATGCTGTGACCCTGTGCCAGGCAGTGCCCGGAGGGGCGGTGTCCAGGGACAACGTCCGGGACGTGGTGCCACAGGCCGCCCTCGAAGGGGGCGTCCTACTAGGCTTCCCTGGGAGGCTTGGCTGAGCCCAGACAGACGGGGCGCTCCTGAGCTTGCCCACGAGGGGAGGCCGCTGGCAGGCCCTGGCAGTCGCTGCTCTGGCTCGGGCCCTCCTGACGTGCTGGGGCGGGGGTGGAGCGGGGGCGTGGGGGCTCGTGATGACCTGTGGCCAGGCTGGCCCGCAGGCGGCGCGGTGCGGATCCGGGCTCCTTCGCGGTTTGGGGCCTCCCGCTCCGGGGGCTCCCCTGGGCTGTGCCGCTCTCCTCACGGCCCTTTTCCCTTTTCCAGTTCCCAGCACAGCATCCCCTCCCGTCTCCAGTGCCTCCAATGATCCGGTGGGCTCTTACTCCATTAACGGGATCCTGGGCATCCCGCGGTCGAATGGCGAGAAGAGGAAACGTGATGAAGGTAGGGGGAGGGGAGAGGCCCATCCTCCCCGGCTACGTGCTTTGTCCCCGCGCGCAGGCTCCGATTTCAGGCCAGGCCTCGCAGCTGCTCCGGGGCTGGATCTGTTGTAGCGGCCGGGGGCCGCGGCAGGCGGCAGGACCCGGGCCTTCCCAGGCAAGCAGCGCTCTCTCTGGCCTGGCACCAGCCACCTCTCCACCAAGGCCGCGAGGCCCCGGTTCCTTCCCGGCTCCGCACAGCGTTCGAGCTAACCCCGCCCCAGAAATTAGGCAGTGAGACTGGGCCGTCACCTCCTGCCTCTTCCCATTCGAGGGTGAATTAACGGCCCAGTGGCCCTTGGAATGAGCAAGAAGGCGGAGAGCCAAGCCCACGCCCTGGTGTGTTTCCGGGGGGCAGTGTAAGGAGTGGAAGGGGAGTGTTCCTTCCCGGCTCCGCACAGCGTTCGAGCTAACCCCGCCCCAGAAATTAGGCAGTGAGACTGGGCCGTCACCTCCTGCCTCTTCCCATTCGAGGGTGAATTAACGGCCCAGTGGCCCTTGGAATGAGCAAGAAGGCGGAGAGCCAAGCCCACGCCCTGGTGTGTTTCCGGGGGGCAGTGTAAGGAGTGGAAGGGGAGTCTGCATTGGGGGGCGGGGGTGAGGGCGCTTGCGTCCTTTTTGCCTCAGTCTGCTCTTGTTTCTGGATGCGCCCAAAGCTGGGGAGGGACCGTGCAGAGCGTGGGGCCCGGGTGGTTTGACCCGCTCAATCACATCTTAACGGAGTGGATCTGTACCCTTGTGGGGGTCTGGTCTCAGCCCCAGGCGGTGGGCGCGGGTTTCAGCGTGTACCGTCGCTTCCCGGGGCCCCGCGTGCCACCCCGAACGCCAGCCTGGCGCTTGTGACTCCTCGAAACTCGTCCCACGACTCCCCCGGGTGGAGAAACCCTGCTCTAGCCTGTGGAGCTGTAGGCACGGGGCTGCAGCGCGTACCCACTTCGCTAGCGCTTTTCATGCGCCTCTTGTCAGACTAGGTGTAGCGAGATGAGCCGAGGGTCCCCTGGCCGATCGCTGTATCCCAGGGGATGGGCACCCCCGGCTGCCTTAGTCTGTGGCCTCCCCTCTTGGCCGTTGTGTGGATGGTGCCTCCTAGCACTAGGGACCCGACTTCCCTGCAGCCTTCGACCCCAGGGGGTTGCCGGCGCCTGGCAGAGAGTGTGGCTTATCCGGCCCGACTCGGAGCTGAACAATCAGACACTAGTGCAGAGTATCTGAAACCCAGACTCTCGCAGGGCGGCTTCCCGGCTGCTCTGATTCCTCCCCGAGTTGATTTATGAAGGAAAAGCCATTCCCTGCACTGCAGCCCGGAGCCGGCTGAGGGTCGGCCCTTCCCTGCCTGGCGCTCAGCGCCACCCGCTTTCCGTGCAGTGCGTGTCGGTGCCGTGGGGACCCGGCCTTCCCTCTCAGCCCTCCCCACCGGCAGGACCTCTGCAGCCAGCACCTTGCTCTTGCTCCCCGGCGGGTTCTCCCAGCTAGGCCAGGTGTCCCAGAGGGAGTGAACAGAACAGGGAACCATCCAATGATCTCTCCCCTGTCGCCCATTCCCAGCCCCTGACAAACAGAGGTAGGGACACCATCCCCGCCCAGCCTGGCTAATCACCATTGATGGACCTGTCCTCCAGGAATTTATCTAGCTCCTTCTTGAACCCTGTTAAAGTCCTGGCCTTCCAGCCTCCCCTGGCGAGGAGTTCCACAGGTCGCCTGTGCGCTGCGAGAAGAAACACTTCCCTTGGTTCGTTTTAAACCTGCTGCCCCTTCATTTCATTGGGTGACCCCAGGTTCTTGTTTGGTAACAAGGAGTAAATGGCACTGCCTTGTTCACTTTCTGCACACCAGCCGTGATTGTATAGCCTCTGTCACATCTCCCCTCGGTCGTCTCTTTTCCAAGCTGAGACGTCCCTGTCTCATTACCTCTCCTCCCAGGCAGCCCTTCCAAACCCCTCGTCCCTTCTGCTGCCCTTTCCGGAACCCATTCCCGTGCTCAGAGATCTTTTCTGAGATGAGGTGACCCCGTGTGCCCGCAGCCTCCCGGGCGGGTGTATCCCGGGGGAGATCTCCTGGGGGGGGGGCAAGGGGAGGGGTCGCTTAGGGCTGTGGGGGGAGTGCGCAGGGAAGGAGGCTGTGGGCCCGCTAATCGGAGCCAGGAAGGAGCCAGTTCCTAAAGGCCTGACTGCCCTTGAGCTGTGTGTAGGGACTGCGGGGTCTGGCCCCCTCCTGGTCCTTAGCACTTCCTGTCATGCCTGCCCATTCACCAGGGACTCAGCCCTGTTGGGGGCGGGGGGTGGGGTGTCTACACGGCAATAGCCCTCCTCCCCCCCCCGACTCTCAGAGCATGGGCCAAAGGCCTCAGCCTCGGCCTATACAATCGCAGTGTCGGCGTTTGGGCTCAGGCGGGAGCCCTGGCCCTGAAACTCACCCCCCTTGCGGTCAGCTGACCTGGGCCTGCTGTACCCGCTGGTACCCCCAAGGAAGCAGGCACAGAGAGGGCAGTGGGCCTGCCCCAGACCCCAGAGAGCCCTGTCCCCATATTCCAGATGCAGCTGGATCCCAGAGTCTAGCGCCAAGGCTGGGGAAGAGGAGACGTGAAGGCCCCCAGGGACAAGGGGGTAAAAGCTGTTGGCTGATCCCCTCCTCCTGACAGGCCCGTGAGAGAATGAGGGGACCCGGCTCAGCCCCACTGCTGCTAATGCATGCTGGGGAGCTGGCCGAGCATGGCGAGGGATGGAGGGTGGGTGCCTGTCTGGGGAGAAGGATGGATGGATAATCAACACGCCATCCCCAATGCCCCCCTGCCTCTCCCAGGCCTCTTCGGGCTCCGTGCAGGACGTCTGGTGCTCCAGAGCACAGGCGAGCCCCCTGCGATCGCTGGGAGCCGTGGGGAGAAAGGCAGCTCGCTCTCTCGGCAGAGGGACTGGGCGGGTGTCGTGTATGGGTCCGGATTCTCGCTGGGGATCCCTGGCCCAGTGCCGGTCATTCCCAAGCTGGGAGAAGGGCAGCGCCTGTGCAGACCGGCCGCGGCAGCGATATTATCCCCCAGTCCTGGCGTGTTTTTGGGGGGCCCAGCCATAATGTGTCTGGTGTCATTAGGATCAGCAGCAGCGAAACCCACAGGGCTGTTAGCGTGATCAGCGCTCCGCTCAGCCGGGGCTCGGCGGGAGAGGCGGCGGACAGATCGCTCGTGCAAGTGGCAATGATACCCAGAGAGCTTGCAGCATGGGACCCCCAGTGTGTGTGTGGGGGGGGGAAGGCACGTGTGTGTGTGTTTTCCTTCTCTCCTGGAGTCAGATGTGTGGGTGCGGCACACGCAGTTGGGCTGTTCCAGGAGGGGGGCTCTGTGCCTGCAAGTGGTGTGATTGTGATGTTCAAGGTGTGTGCTGTCACTGCAGGTGGTGTGATTGTGATGTTCAAGGTGTGTCCTGTCACCTACAGTGGCCGGTAGCTCTGGCAGATGGTCAGGCTTCAGTTCAGAACTGACCCATGCTGGTAAGGTCAGGATGGAGATTTTGCACCGGAGTGGAGAACAGGTGCGACATGCACGCAGCCGCCCAGTGCGTGTGATGTGCTTGAGCAAGCTTGCTGCAGCTGGTTGTGATGTGGCAGGCATGGTATGACTGTTGTTTGAGGCATCATTGTGATCTCACGAGCCGGGGTACGGTTGTGCCTTTGGCTGTGGTGTGCATGCTGGGGGCACTGTACCAGGACTGTTGGTGGGTGTGACAGCTGTAGAAGTGATTGCAGTGTTGCTGGGTTGTAGCTGAGACGATTGTGTTGTTTGAAAAGCTACGACTGAATCATCCTGAGCGTGCCTTTGTCACTGCAGGCAAGGAGGCTGTTCCACTGTCAACACTGTGAGTACATCACTGCGGACAGCGCTGTTGTGTCACTTCCATTGGGGTGGCTGTGTCACTGCAACAGGTGTGGTTGTGGATTGCAGGTGGCAGGGTTGTTCCCCAGGGCTGTGATCCTGGAGTCAGTGTGGCTGTGTCATTGCAGTGCTGGGGTAATGCCATTTCAGGAGCATGATCATGTTGTTCCAAGTTTTATTGTAGACAGTGTAGTGCTTTTGGGTAGCCCGGCTGTGTTGCTCCATCTTGCACGGTTGTGTCATTACAGGTGGTGTATTTGTGTTGGTGTCTGTAGTGTGATTATCCCATTATCGGTCGCGTGGCTGCATCAGGAAAAAGAGGAGTGTTAGTGTCATTACAAGGACATGCCTTTGTCCTTTTAAATGCCTTGCTTCTGTGTAGCTGCAAACAGTGTGCCCCTGTCACACCACGGGGTTGTACTGTTGTCTTTGACTTGTGTTTGTGTGACTGCAGCTGGATGAACGCAGTTGTGTTATTAGACAACCGAGTGTGTGTGTAGCTCACTGCCGGGGAAGCCAGATGGCATTGCCTGTAGTGTGGTTGTGTTTTCACTCCATGCTTCCATGTCACCCCAGGGGCATGTGTGCATTATTCTGCATGGCTGCCTTGCCGCCGGTGAAGAAGGGCTGTGTTTGTGTGACTGCAGATGGGTGTCGTGTGTTGCCCCATGTCATAGCCATGGGATCCTTCCATCGCAGCTGGGTGTTGGAGGTGTCTCTTCTGGTGGATCTGGGTGTGCGGCGAGCTGTGGCTGTGTCGTTTCATGCTGTGATTTTATCCCCCTTGCCCTGCGATTGTGTTGTTTCAGGCAGCGTGGCTGTGCCTGCCCATGGCTGTGTAGGCAGCAGCGTCTGTGCTGAACCCATAGCATGGCTGTGTCCATGCAGGCAGGCGTAGGTAACGGCTCCTTCATGCACCAGATGAAGTTGCAGCTGGAAGAGGCAGTTTGTTGTTGGTGAAGCCCCCGGGTCCTGACTCTGGTGAGACTCCCAACAGCAAGAGATCAGAATCAGACTGTAGGATGAGTGACACCCGCCAGTCCCCCCCGGCACCTCGCCGGCCCAGCTGCGGCAGGATGGCCAGAGGGGGCCGAGTGTGCGTG